GTCAGATGTCGGCTCACATACCCTTTTAATTACTTTTTATTTGAAATCTGTAACACTTCCATAACAGCTAAAATATTCATAGACAGAATATGATAACAAATTGCCTTAAAAGTAGATATACCAACAGATATACCGACAGTGACCGACAGATACATAAGATTGTAATTAATTATAAGTAAATAGTTTTAAAAATTTATGACTCATGTTAATAAAATTGATTGTATCCGAAGCATTGTACGTATAGTGTAAAGAAAATAATAATTGTATACGTCAATAATTTGATAAAAGATTCAATTTAGATCTTTTTTACTGTTATAATATTAAAATAACACTAATAATAATTGCAACATATGTATGTAAACATTGACATACATATTGTCAATATAAGAGCTTCTAAAAAATAGTCTCGCTATGGAGAAAACTCTTTAAAATTTTTATTGTAAAGAAAAAAAAAAATTTTTTTAAGTGAAAAATGTTGTTAATAATTTTATTTTTTAGCAACAGCAAACCGTATAAATGCTAATATTTAAAAGTAAATTTAAGTTTAGGTAAAAAAGTACATATACATATACACATAAAAATATACTTTAATATACAATTATGTTTATCAAAATCAAATGAAATTTTGACAGTAGTTAAACAATTTTACTGTTGTTATGATAGCATCAATGATTGTTATTTGTTGATATAGAATTTTTTTAATAAATTATTATATGTATAATTTACAATCATAAATATGTATAAGGCACGCAAAAATACATGCATATATATGTGCATATATATTCACGCAGCATCAGACTCTGGAAATATTCAAATACGTCTATGGCAATTATTATTACCCATTATGGTAACATTTAACCCCAATTATGGTAATATTTAAATTAACTTACATATACTTTGAAGAAATATAATTCAAAATTGAAAACTTTTATAATTAAACTGAGTTAGTTCCAATTTGTAAAGATCTGTAAAAATAATATATTGTTAATGTGTACCTATAAGAAAAGTATATTAAACCTATGTATAGTTCTACATATGTAAATGTTGCATAGATGACTTCAATACAATAGAGATCGGTATTCCGATAAATTGTACCTAGATCAAAAATTGAATATTTTTCCAGGTAGGTATATACAACTATGATGCAAACAATAAATCACACTAAAAAAATATAAATTTTTAATTTATAAATGTAGGGATTATAAGCACCTATGATTTAATATTATTTCTGAAAAACTGAATAAAATCTGTATAATGGTTAAAAAAAATCGAATTTTTTGTAACACTATAATAAATACGAGAAAAAAAGAATGAATAAATTGTCAATCATTGTACATGACTAACATAACATTAATGTCCTACGAAACAAATATTAAATTTTGGCATACATATATTTTTCGTAGAAAATTTCTATTGGCATTAAGAAAATAAATATATAAGTAGTTCTAAGAATCAACATAATGTATAAAGAAGCATTAATTAAATAATAATTAAGAAGTATGTCATTAGATCATAAATTTTCAATTGTTATTAATTTGATAAATTTTGAGGAATTTTCATACACATATGTATATACATATATAGCTAATTTTTTGTATTCTTCTTTGTTCATAATATTATGTTTTAAGGAATATGATGGTTTTTTAAAAATCCATACATATTCGATGCATTGTATAACATTAAACATAAATGCACAAACTGTAAAACACAATTAGCGTATTATAAAAATTAATTAATACACTGAGCTTTACACTATCAAAATAATTATTTGGTTTGTTTTATGAAAAAATATTTATAATATCTTTCTTACTAGAAACCTTCTATACATAAGTACACTTCGAATGCAACATTTGATTTGAAAATTGTTTATGAAAATTATGGTTTCATTCAAATTGAAATAGGTTAGGCGGGGTTAGGTTGACACGACTATCCAAAAATACACTTAGGCTAGATAGGGTCTTTGTATACCAGAATCTTACTTGAACCAGTCCGAGTTCTTCCATGCAGCAAAGCTGGGCTTACAGTTGAAATAAAAACATTATAAAAATTTTCACAATTAAAAAGACACTATAAAAGATTTAAGTGAAGTGTTTATTAAACGTAATAAGGCTAAAAGTTTGAAGTTTTTACGCAATTCAATCAAACATGACGTCTATATTATGTCGTTTATTCGATTTTATTTTTTTTTTTTCAAATTGCAACCTACGCAATAACTCCATGAATCTTTTGAATTGTAATATGAACTATAATTGAAATTTAAAACTACCATAATTAATTTATTTTTTTTTTGTGATTTTTATTACCATCATAAATCAATCGTCCTTAAATACATTTACCGTGATTTAATATTATATTTAAATCAATTTGTTAAATTTAAACTTGACCTAGCTTTAGAATTAATGACAAATATATACCTGACGATTAAAAACCGCGCCCTATTTTTTTATAAGAATATCAAAGAATAGAATAAAAATGTATTAAATTACTCAATTAATATAAGAAAAGAAAATAAAAAAAAAAAAAATATTTTTTCATCATAGATTAAAGCAAAATATCTCTTAGACCAGAATTTTCATATCATGACATAATTATATGAGTTTGTGTTAATATTAAACAATGCAAAATAATATTGTGTTTCTTAATAAATTTATTTGATGTTTTATATACAAAATTATTATGACAAATTTTAAACTCAAATTACTTTTACCGACAGCATTGCCGACAATAAGGAAGGTTATGTGGTGGTATTAAATTTTGTATACCAATTTTTGATGGAAACGGACTTCTTCATGACAAAAGGCGAAACTCTGCCAAATTTACATTTTCCTAGGTATAGGTAACTTTACTATATAGGTAACTTTTATTTTTTTTTGTAATCTTGTGTAACATTTTTGTTGAACTACCGAATTTTGTGCGGTTATATGCTGATCACATCACATATTTTTTCCAATTCTAGTGTATTTTCTAAAAATTTTTGTATTGAAAAATAAAGCATTAAAAATATTGCACAAAATTTAATTTCTTTTTATTTACAATCTATTTTATTTGGTTTTAATTCAAATTGTTTAAAAATTTATTTTTGAAATTATTCATTTGTTGCAAATAATTGGATTGTTTTCTTTCAATAATAATAAAAAATTTAATTTATTTTTAAATAGTTTACATAATAATCGTGTACAACAAAATAATAATTTAGATTTTCTCTTTGGAAATTTTCAAAATATAAGTATGTATATAATTTTTGTTACATATAATTAATTATAATATTATTTATTAGCCAAAAAAAAAATGTATAAAGTCATATATCTTACATAAATTTAATACTATTATGTTAATTTGAATTTTTTTTTTTTTGATATAAAAATAAAATCTCGATACAGTCTTAAAATACTTTTTATTATGCATATAAACTAAAAATATATTACATATATATATATATATATATATATATATATATATAATTTACACTAGATATTTTAATAAGAAACTTAAAACCATATATGCATGAATTTTAGATATAAATTCTGTATTATGATGACTTTCAGCTATTTTAAAATTTAAATTTGAATAAGAAATTTTTAAATAATTATAAGTATATAGTGATATTGTAAATGTGATAGTACATTGGACACCTCACTTCCTTTATATGTACCAAGTTCAAATGATATATTGACAGAAGATTTCTTTACATGCTCCTAGAATCTAGATAATTGCTTATGTAATTTATTCATTTAGAATAGAATAAAAAATTTTAATATAAGAAAAAGAAAATATAAAATTTGTGATAAAAGAAGATTTTTGAGGTATTAAGGTTTAAAGGTTTTTAAAATTTCGTATTATGAGTACCAATTTTAAAAAAGAGAAGTAAATTTTATTAATTTAATTGTTATATACATATATAAAATACGATTATAAGAATATAAGTATATACACAATACATAGTATAATAATATAAAATAAAGGTTATACCTTTAAGATGTCCATTGAACAATCACTTTAATATATTAGACAATAATAATTTGGCATAAAATAATCTACCACATAATGCAGCTAATTGATAATTTTTTAAATTTAATTTTTTCTTTGTAATAATATAATGTTAATAAATTGAATTTATTAATGTAATTGAACAACATAATAATATTTTTAAAATATTTTATCACAATTAAATCTTGTACAAACACTTAAATACAATTGTTTTATGGCAATAATAAAATACAGGTGGTTATTTAACACTATAAAAATCTTAACATTTTATATTTTGTGTAAAAAGAAGAACAATTAATTATTGCTTATAATGAAGAACATAAAAATGATTATGTACAGAAAAGGCATAAACAATGTTATTGTCTCCAGATCAACTATTAATCATTCACTTAACTTGCATTGGATTTGATTTTAGAATATACATTTAATGAATAAATATCAACAAAATTATCTTTATCGATTTCATATTTAAATTAGTTTACAAAATTCAAATATTATTTTATACAAGAAATTTTGTTTTTATACTTTATATTTAAAATACTATAAATTAAAAATTGAATATACAAAATTCATAGAAAATATATGTATATACCAAGGTTAAGTTGGTTAAACGGTAACATTATATAAATAAAATAATTGATTTTTTGAAAGAAATTTAAAATTTAGAAATCGAAAATATTGAATTTCTAAAAATAGCTGTGAAGATATTTCAAGTGGAAAGAAAGTTTTATAATACTTGAATATTTTATGTAAGCATTCTGTTTAGAATTTTTAAATATAACATTTACAATAATTTATAAAAAAATTTAAACAAAAATTTTAAAGTATGAACATTTAATTTATATTAAATTAATTAAAAACAATCTAAAACCATTTTGTACCTCGATAACAAGATTTTCTACTTATTTACTATTATCATTTAAAATTTACTTTAAAAATTAGAAAAAGAAATTTTAATTATAAAATCGTAAAAATTTTTTAAAATTAGTTTCATAAACTTTCTGTACATGGTATCATTTAAAATATATTTTTTTATAATTTACTTTGGTTTTCGGACTAAATGAAAAAAATTCTTGATCTTTTAAATTAAATTCTGTTAAATTTATGTGCAATTTTTTTTAAAGTGGTTTGTTATGCACCAATATACAATATATACCCATATACAAAATAAATAATATTAATCTTATTACATAACACTTTCTATGTCATTTGGATTAAAACTACTTCTTGATCCTTTACTAAAACCACTTGTACTACTACTATAACCACCACCTTTAATTGTTCCATTACTAATAATACTACTATTACTTAAATTATTTTTTAATTTTTTATCACCAATAATATTATTTAATCGATTTTTATTAACACCATTACTACTATTATTATTGTTATTATTATTATTATTATTATTACAATTTAATATTTCATCATTATTACCATTACCATTTTGAAATAAACTAGAATTTGGTTTCATAAAAAATAATTTAGCAGTCTTTGATCTAGAAAAATTTTCATATTTTCTTTTAACCAATACTAATGTACAATTATATAAAAATTGATATTGATGGATACTTTGAACCATTTTCATACGTTGAAATCTTAATGATTTTACTGTTTCATATATATTTATTTTACATTCATTTTTAATTCTTTTAATTATTAAATCTAATGCAATAAATGTACCGGTACGACCAACACCAGCACTACAATGTACAACAATTGGTGAACGTGATGGCATTCTTTCAGATTTAACACGTTTTACAAATGTTATTAATTCATTTGGATCTGATGGTACATCATGATCAGGCCATCTTTTAAATAAATAATGTATAACAGTTTGTACTTCATCCATATTATGTTTAACAGTTAATTCACGTCTCTCATAAATTTCATTATCAGTTTGTGATCTACATAATATTGTTATATTATTACCAAATTTCATTTCTTTACCATTTATCATTGGAAAATATTGATGACATTTTATCTAAAATAAATAAATTTAAAATTATTTTAATAATATATTGATTATAATTAAAAGTTATAGTATATTAATATTTTTAAGTATGGTTTTCCGTTGTATAACAATAAGAATTTGTAAATGTATATTAGGGTAGATTATATTAATATGTATAGGAAAAATAAAAATTGGTTGCTACGCTATAGTTATACGCTATTATTAAAGGTTAAATATAAAATTAAAAAAAATATCATATTTACTATTTTTAGTGTAAGAATACGCGTGCTCAAGCATTTACTCCGCTTTACCATTTGACCATACGCTTAAAAATAATTGTCTGAGCTATACAAATAAGTGTATGTCTTTGGCAAGCGTCGTATTCTGAGTCGATTTAACCATGTGCCTCCAATCCTAGTTATAACTAGCTAAAAAATTGTTAACAATACTCTAGAACCCTGTTCTCAAATACCAGTACCCTATTCAATATACGGAATTGATTAAAGTTCTAGTTTAACAAACTGTCCTACACAGAGTATCACAGAGTTGACATAATCAACTCTATTTTTTCTCGTTAAATTTTGATAGTTGACTAAAAGATTACACATTATAGCATAAAATCCAATACGAATATGAAAATATGTTATGTATATTCATACGAAAATCACTTAAAACTTGGTAAATACACACAATATGACTGTTGCACGTAAACGTTAAGACGTTAATTATGTTAAGAAAAAGTTACGATAATTATGAAAAAATTTAAAACAACATTTTAATTATCACCTAAATACAAATTATAAAAATTAAACTTACCACATTTCCTTCAACAAATTGTGTTACCATTACAATAACTTTTACATTATATTCTATGATCATTTTCCAAAAATCAATAAAACTTTCAGGTTTTGGTCCTTGAGTTGCAATATACTCTTTACGATGTCTATATCCCTTTATTAAAATACAGAAAAAATATTTTAAAAATAATAGATATTGCGATTTCAAATGTAATCAATAAAATTAAAAATCGAAAATAAATTTTACTTACATTAATGAAGGAAGCATTAATATAATCAGAACCCTCTAAATCGATATTTAAAATAACACGATTTTTTTCATCTAAAATTCAAATTTAATATACATATTTTTATTAGTACATTAACGTCTTTTTATATAATTAAATTAGACAAATTATATTTACATGGGTAAATGTTACTGTAACGATTCTTTGATTCATTATATTTTGATATTGTACTTGCAACACAAACATCTTGAGCAACTACAGCCAAATCTTTAAATTCTCTTTGAACCTTGTCTTTTGCCGATAATTTAGAATAATGTAATAAGAAATTTTTAGCAGAAACATCACCTACTGAATCTTCAATACCATTTAATGATTGTCGATTCCTAAAATTAAAAAAATATATATATTGCTACAACATTTAAAAAATCAATATTAAAAAATTTATTATAAATTTTGTTTTTATTACCACATTCTCCTCTTTATTATCCATAAATATATAAAACCCAAAAAGAATGCAATCATTAAAACACTTATAATTAAACTAAGAATCAAAGAGAATTGAATGATTTCATCTAAAATGAAAAATCTCAAATGTTAATAATATCGAAAATATTTATATAAATTTTACCAGTTTTAAAATCTATGCCAACGCTATCACGAAAGCCATTTTTTGTAAATGTTCTTAAAATCATTTTATATTTTGTATTAGGTTTCAATGGGCCATTACAATAATCTAAATTTTCACAATCATTTCCATTCCCAATTACATATTCAATTACTTCATTATCATTATTATCATCACCCAAATTATATGTACTTGATCTACCTTGAGATGCAAAAGGTTGCCATTGAATTGGTGTTGTTTGATATTGGCTAACACATTCTTCATCTTTAACATCGTTATAACTTTTTAATGTTTTTGGCCATCCATTTGACATATCATATTTTTCAGCAATTAATTCAGGATCATTTTGGCAGGACATTTCAGATATTAATAATGCAGCATAAATTATTTCACCCATATTCGATTTAAAAATTTTCTTTGAAAATTTTACTAGAGCCGAAGTTTTTGGGTTTTTCGATGAATATGAATCAACTGAGCTTAATTTTTCCGGTTCTTTTACTGGTTCCGGGACTAAAATTATAACATGATAAATTTTATAAAATCTATAACATTTGCATGATTTTAAATGTATCAGGAAATTTTATACAAATAATTTAATAAGAAAAAGTACAATAACTTACTTCCAGCAGGTGCTGTAAATTGAATTATTTTTTCTTCACTCATTTCAATTACATCATGAACAGCAACTGATAATTTAAATGTATAATTGTATTCAGGATGATAAACTATATATGAGAAATATATATAGCCCGAATCATTTGGTATTACATTTTTAATTTCAATTATAATTGGTTCAGATGATTTATCATCCGAAATATTAATAGTGTAAAATTTTAAAATGCCATTCGATTTACACGGTGGTCTCCATTTTACTGTAATATTAGCTTCATATATATCTTCTCCGATTTCTGGACCAATAATACTTACTAAAGAAAAATCATCCACAGGTTCTGAAGCTGTAAAAACAAAAAACATTATTTAAAGTTCTTATATGTTATATACTTATATAAATAAAACAATTTAAAATATTAAATTTAAATTAATAAATTTAAATAATTTTAATAAAAATAAAATTTCAATTAAATACCAGATGGTTTTGTTATTGCATATGACGTTGAAGTGAATTTCCCAGCTCCAAATTCATTTGCTGTTGCAATTTCAACACTATACAAGCTATATGGTAATGCTTCATTAAAATTAAATTCCAATTTACTATTTTGCGCTTCTACATATTTAATTTCATTTTCTCTACAATGTATTGGTAGCTTATATGAAGGACCCAAATATTGTATGAATATGTTATATGAAGTTTGTTCCCCATTTGCATATTTTGGAGGTAACCATTTTACATTAAATGTTGAATTTGAAATTACTGTAGTTTCAATAGATGTTGGAATTTCTGGAACTTTAAGTATTTTTTTTTTATGTTTACATAAATTTAAATTAGGAATTACATAATATACTAATATTAAATTTTATATTATCCCTTACAATATAAAGAAGTATTCCATAAACCTTTTGGAATAAGTGATGACCAACCAGCAACATTATATAAACGAAGTGTACATTCATATTGTGAATTTGGTGAAAGTGGATACATTACGCCTGTAAATTTTGGTTCTCCAAAATCAGCTTGAATTATTTGTTCAGCTCGCTAATAAACAAATAAACGAAATAAAACTTGAAATTTATTAAATATTTGATTATAATTATCGGAAATTGGACAATGTATAGAATAATATCTAAACAATTTAATATGACTAATTTCAAATTGATTTACCATAATCCCAGTTTCATGAGTTGCTATACATTCAAATTTCGCAAATAAAACTTCACATCGATCTTTGGTACCACCACTTAATTGTAAACTATTATGTGTCGCTTTTGCATTTGAATCTAATTCAGGATGAGAATCTCTGGGTGATGTTGTAATCGGCAATACAACTGGATCACCTTCTTTTAAACTATATGTTATAGGTATTATTTGTACTTCATATTCCATGCATGATGTTAAATTTTTTATTGTGAAAACTTTTTCAGTTCTATTAAAATGACCGGTTTTTACTTCGCTATGATCTTTTGGCCAACAATTAATACGATATTCTTTAACACATATATTGCCAAGATATGGTGGTTTAAATTTTAAAACAATTTCTGTTGGATATATATATTTTACCATTGTATCTTCAATTTCACTGGGCCCTAAAAAAAAAGGATTTTTTATTGAAATTCCTCTTTTATTTCTCTCTTTTTAATCATTTTCATTTTATCAATTTTTATAATATATATTATGTTGATATACCTACTTTCTTCATTTATCATAATGTTTCGATGAAATACTTCGCCATGAGTTGGAATGGGTCCATTTAATATAGCATGTAAGGTAACATTATAATTACCACATGCCTCTAATATTGCTGACACTTTATAATTCGTAACATTTAAGTTTTCTGTTATATTAATATTTGGGATTTCAAATACATTTGGGCCGAAAATATTTAATTGATAATGTTTAATACATCTATAATGCTTTTCAACTTTCCATGAAAATTCAGTATTTAAACGTGAGCTACTCAGAATTCTAAAATTTGTTAGCGGTGATGGATCTAAAAAATATTGTATAAAAATGCTTATTATACATACAAATACGAAATAAATAACTATTGATTAAAATGAACTACAATTACCAATAAACGTTGTTTTAAAACTTCCCTGCGCATTTGGTTTGACTTCATTTATCCCAATTGAAAAATTATATTCAGAACAACCTTCAACATTTTCGATAGTATATTCATTCAATTTTGGAGTCATATTATACCAATTTGGTTTACATTCTGAAAAAATGTTAAGTTAATTAAAAAATTTAATAATTTAATTTTTGTATGGGTTTGTTCGGAATCATCAAATAAAAATTGTACGAATTTGTCAAAATCGAAAAAGATTCAGAAATTTAATTTTTGATACAATTTTTACATAAATACCTTCATAAATACATTTCCATTGTAAAAAATAATATTTAACACATGACTTAAACGGTGGATGCTTCCATGTAACTTTTATTGATTTACCATCATTATGATTTGAAAATGCAAGATTTTCTATATTACCAGGATCTAAAAAAACAAAAGGAAAAAAATCAGTTTTTGAACCTATTAACATAATTTTCTATTCTAATCTTTACCTTTAGGTAAAGTTTCTCCAACTCCATCTGAACTTTGTATTTGATTATCTATATCCGTAATACTTAAATTGATACGATATGTTAAACATGGATTTAAATCATCAAAATCATAATATGTTTTCGTTACATCACTTGTTTCTGATGTTTTACTTTGACCCTCAGCTTCAGCTTTCAATGTTATTTTTGAAATACAAGTTGGATTTGTTGTTTTCCATTCAACTCTTATTCTTAATTGCTCCGGTAAAATTCGTCCAATTTGTATACTAGGTTCTTTGAATTATATAACATAAAAAATTTTTTTTTGAACAATTGTTATGAAAATTATTTTTTTATAATTATATTTCATACTTGAATAGGTTGTTCGCACTGATATCGTTTTGTTGAATGAATTATTTGTATTTAAATTTAAGACAGTAATCTTGGCTTGATAAGGGAAACATGGTTTCAAATTTATGCTAAAATTTATATGTATATATATATATAAAATAAACGATTTTATTAACATCTTGATTATAAATATTTAAGTATGTAAATCAATTCTATATATATTTCTAATATTAAGACTATACATACCAACCATACCATTTATTATTATTATCTTCAATAAATTTTGGCTCTAACATTCGTGATTCCGAACATGTTAACCCTGTTATTTTATAATTTTTATCTTCTATATAAAATTCTATTTCATTCGGACGTGCTGTGTATGATATTTTAACATCTAATAAGAAAATGAGAATAACTTTAATAATTTATAATGGAATTTTTATAAAGATTTTTACAAAATCAAAAATAAATTCAATAACATACATATCTAAGTTCATTATGTGTGTATAACGTATATTTTTCTAAATATCAGAGAAGCTATAATTTTTAAATCATTATTCTTTAAAATTAATTTGTACTGTAAAAAACTGGATTGATAATGCCAAATTTTTTGAGAAATCTATTTTTTCAGCTCCAAACTATAAATTAAACCAAGTTATAAATACGCACACGGAAAATTGAAAATAATGCAGCTTATTCTGAGTATCGAATAACATGATAGTAATAATTATCGAAAAAGTTCGATATTATTATTGTAAACACAAACTAATTCATACAAATGATTTATGTCTATAATAACTCGATACTCAGAATAAACTCCAATACAGGCATACCTCGTTTAACGCTTATGATGCGTTCCTAGAAGTTGAGCGTTAACAGAAACAGCGTTAAAAGGTGCTCCTTTTACACTAAAATATAGGGTTACGTTACTACCAACTTTTTTTGGTACTTTTTCAAGCCAAAAATAATAAGATCGTATACATTTTTATTTTGAAAAAAATTTAATTTCATTTATACTTCATTTAAAAATTAAAAAATAAATAAGAATTTCCATAAAATTAAATAAATACATTAATACATTTCACAAAATAAAGGTAAATTCATATTTAATTGTCTTTTTTAAAAAATATGTCTAAGCTTAATTGCTTTGATAATTTTCTCTTCTCCTTTAAGAGTTCTATGTAGGGTGATAAAGTATTCATTACTCCTCGTTTTATAGCATAAGACCTTTCAAAATTGGGATCATTTTCACATAAATCTTCTAAAGCATTTTGGATTATTCCTAGATTATTTTCCAAACATACTCTCAAAAAAACAATATAATCTCTCACTTAAGAATCTTTGAACATGTAATAATTAATTCTTAAGAATTACGACTGTACTCAAATAAAAATTAATTCATTAGAATTTCGATTATTGTGAAATAAAAATTTTTTTTAATGTGACAATATAAAATATTTACATTTGGTGATTCCAAGCGATATAATAATTTTTGAAAATTTTTTTTTCAAAAGAGCGTTATAACGAAACAGCGTTAAAAGAGGCAACGTTAAACGAGGTATACTTGTATTGGAAAATTTTAAGTATCGCGTTAAGATGAATTAAGCAGTTTTGACTCATTGCAGTAGATTAATTCATTTCCTTTTTCTTATTTACGTTTTCTAAAAAATTATCAGCTATAAAAAATTCGCTAGCAATTGGCAATAGTTTATTGCCAAAACTATTTAGTAATCGTTTTTAATTATTGCATATTTTTGATTCTATGATAACTATTCTAATATAAAAAACAAAAATTATAAACTTACCATCAGTCGGCTGTGTTTGACAAGTAACTCTTTCGTAAGCAAATAACAAAAGGAAAATTATTAATATCTTTTTCATTATTTTCAGTTGATTTCATCTACATATATAACACTTTTCCACAAATAAATACAACATTTGTTATCTAATTTCATTTATTTTCATGCCAAAAATTTTAATTTTTATTAAAATAGTGAAGAGCTGAAACTAAAAAATAATAATATAAATATGAGTAAGTATTAGTAAAATGGTATTATGTATACAAAAAAGAGGACTCTAGCATTAACTGCTTGTATTATAACAAAATAAATCAATGTTTGCCCTAGAATAATTAATATAGAAATTCCGAATTTAAAAATATCTCTTCATATTTTAAATTACATGTGTACATATGCACACTTAATCAACTTAAAAGACATTTTATTACATAAATTACTTAAATTGCATTGTATATAGTAGCATATGTATATTATTAATATTCAGAGGTATGTACTTACCCGAATTTCCACGAGTACTTACTCAAATAATTAGGTACAAAAATAAAAATCGGAAGTTATTAACAAAACTAATTCAATATACTTAACATACTACAAAAAGTAAAAATTGCAATAAAAAAAATTATTACGGTAATTTATTTGATTAGCACCTGTATCAATTAATTTAACACCTTAATATTGAAATTTATCATATATATACGTATATCATATTTAATGTATGCATTAAAAATGAGCCACTATCTTAATTATTGTTATAAGTATATTAAATATGAGGTATTTGTTAATATTATGATACTGTTAAATCAATGAATTATTGTAGCTATGTATATACCTTTATTAAAAATAAACTCCTGTACTCTTACCTTTTTACTTGTTTTTATGTCATTCAAACAAATAAATACCTACATATATTCCATTTTATTATAGACATCATAATCAAATTGTACATTTAATCAAATGAGAATTAATCAGTAGAGGTACATTATGAATTTTAAATAAAGTTCTTAATATTCCTTTATCAAATAAGCTATACTTATTTATACCATAATCATAATACTGACAATACTGACAATATGTTAACAAAAATATCTTAAAAAAAAACAATTTTAGGTAATTAAAATTTGAATTTAAAAAGGTATAAAGGTAATGAAGAGATCGATCCTTCATTCCTTTATAGCACAATTTGAATTTTTCAGAAATTTAAATTATATATTGTTAAACAGATTAGTGACGTAATAGATTTGCGTTTGGAAAGACGCTTTAATTGACGTTAACAGCAGCATTTAAAGTGAAAACAACAGAAGACCGATCTTGCGCGGTGAAATGTCAGAACTCTTTTACATTTATAGGTAAATATTTTTATGTTATTGAATAGATATTATTAATTTGCATTAAAAAAATAAAGCTACTTAATTGTACAAATAAATTTATAAACACATTTAGATACATAATGAATTCATGCAATGGCAGCCAAAATCTATGCTAGTAATAAATATGAGGACAGCAATATGAAAGTAATTGCATACATAAGTACTTAATTGCGATAAATGAAAAGTCAAATCAATTTTGAACAACAGCTCGATGCTTAATTAAAAATTAAGCATCGAGCCTACATATTTCCAAAAAGCGAGTAAGCGATTAAAACTACAAAGGAAATCCTTTTGGTTTGAATTTAATCGTACCAGTTATATTTTTATACTTTCACTTAAATTTCAACTAATGATCGTCCAAAGTCATATGAAAATTAGGGGTCGTGCCTACATATACAAGCCTATAGAAATTGCAAAACGTCCTTATGTGTTTTCGTCATTACTTAATTTATAAATGGATTGAAAAAATCTTTTACCAATGTTAAGCATTATAACAATTGTTTGTTTTTCATATCAATGACTGATCAAATATTTGCATAAAGAACAAAAAAACTTTTATATAGTCAAAGGTTTAAAACAATATAATAAACAAAATGCTTTTAATTTAGATAACGGTATATATTACACATTAAATATTATGTAGATAACACTGTATTTGATATCGTTTCTTAATTTGATATAGAGATTGAATTGAATGCTCGCACTTTTCATTTGTAACATAACATTTACAACACATATATGATGTAAGTAGACATACATACATCATATACATATACGTAAAATTATACTGATTGCAACAAGAATAAGATATTGGATTGAGAATCAAACAATAAGACGTAATTTAAGTTAATACAGACAACAGTACTAACTAATGCAGGTATGTATAAGTAAATTTTTTAACTTGTCCTAAAAAAATTCTGATCAAATGTCAATCTAATGGTATGATATTAGACAAAAAACAATTATGGAGAGACCATATTAACAATAAATTAACCGAATTAAAAATTAAATATGCAAAATTATATAGCTGATTGGTTATTACTCTAAATTTAGTATAAATAATAAAATTTTATAATATGATTAGATATTAAAACCTACATGGCTTTATGGAATACAACTGTGGGTTTGCGCTATTAAATTTCATATAGATATCATTCAAAAATTTCAAAATAGAGTACTGAGAAACATGGTTAGAGCACCTTGGTACGTTAGAAATGCTGGTTTACTTAGAGACCTTAAAATAAAAACACTACAAGAAGAAATAAAACAACTCGCTGTAAAGCATTATGAAAAGTTAACAACACACACTAACATTGAAGTGTCAAAATTCAGTTTAACAGGGAATGAAAATGGGTCCAGGAGATTAAAAAGGAAGAAAAATTCTGATTTACTATAAATTTTGATTGACCTACTTATATGAAATAGTTGTAAAATGTTAATTAAATTGACAAAGACAGATAAAATGTTGGAAATTAATTGCGTGTTTCAGCTGGCATCATTAAATTAATTAGGTTAAGAATTACAGAAACAAGATAATGGTTGGTCAATTGGACTAGTTTTAGCGCTACATATAGATAATAAATCTAAATAAAAAAAAAAAATTTAACTTACTTTTTTTAAACTTAAGTATTGTTGTTTTCTTATGTCTACTACATTTTATATTTTTTAGGGATGCTCATACATACATATTGCGTAACAATAGAAGAATAGGGGAAGAGAAAGGCTAACAATTACTGATTTTTTAAATATTATATCCTTAATATTTATTAATTAAATTCATTAGAAATTCATTTACTACTGAAATTATTTTTCATAACAATCTTTAATTAAAGTAATTAGCATTTCATTAATTCAATTTTCATACTAAGGCCCGTAACAGAAATGCAAATAAATTTAAAAGTCCACATATAGACAAAAATGTAATATTGAAAAGTTGAAAAATTGCTTGTGCCGGGTTTTCTTACTACGACATACTTAGGCACATAATGAAATTTTTTATTTTTCGAAAAAAAAAAAATAGAATTTTCATTATTAAATTAATAAAATTTTTAGTTTAATTTCGGGAGAAATAAACCAAAAATTAAATAAATTATTAAAAAAAAAAATGAATTAATCTTTTAAATTTCAAATTTTCTGATTTTTGAATTAATTTAACCAATTTCATTTGAAAACAAGTACTTACATTATAAATTTATCTGCTAATTAAATTTGACTTTTTTGTAAATTATTTAAGATCTAACTAGCATTTAAATATAAATTTTGTAATTAAAAGTTCTTGCCGATATGCGGTGCATATAATAAATACTTCCAAATTAATACCTAAAAGAATACCAAATGAATAAATAGTTCTTTAGTCTAATTTTAATTCCAAAAGTATTGGAACAATATTTCTAAAATTTCATAAATTAAGAAAAACATTTTTTCTTTGTTATTACGCCCACAATTAAAAATAAATACATTGTAAGTATATATAAATATATAATGGACTACTTATAAATGGTTTTAAACTGTTATCCAGTCTTGCAATCTTATTTTCCTTAAAAACGAAAATTTCCGCTACAAATTTTACAAATATTTTGTTATTATCGATTATACGCAAATTTAACAAGTCATATAAGTATATTTCTTAAGAAATGTATTTAAAAAAAAATAAAAACCTTCAAAAACAATAATATTATAATTAAATTTATTACTTACCAATAATAAATTTATAAAATTAATCCAAAATAAAAGAAATAATTCGGCTATTAATTATATACATATATATGTATGTAAATATGTATATTAAAAATTTTATTGTTTTTTTTTTTTAATATGTACAATAAATTAAAAATAAAATTAAAGAATTATTAGTCAAAATTACATAAAAAAATATTTCAATGAACGTTATTAATTGGTGTAATTCATTCCACTAATACACTTAAATAATAAAATTTCTTTTAAGCTTTATTTATTTTTTGTTTTTTTTTGCTTTTATTTTATTTTTGTTGTGTTTTATTTATTAAGATAACGAATTGATAACAATATTTAAAACAATTTTAATTATGTAGTAGTAGTTGATATTGATAGGTATGACTATTTTATTCAATTAAAACAATGAACAAACAACAAAAACAAAAATCGTTAATTAATAATTTTTACAAAATTTTCATATTATATATTTTCTTATTAAATTCCATTTATAGTTTCGACACGTCATTCATAAATTTCTTAAAATATTCAATTTAATTCTGAATAAATTAAATGAAATTTTTAGTGTTTTTTTACACAATTTATTTTTTTTATACTTTTAATATTGATAATTATATTTCGTAATTACTTAATTATATTTAAGTATTACAATTTGCATATTCAATTATTAAATAATTTTATTATTATTAAAATAATTTGTAAGAAATAATTTCATATAATGTAATTCAATGTAAACAATTAATTTATATTTAAAATAATCATAGATTTAAATTTATCTTTCAAAAATCATAATATTCCTTGAAAATCAAAAATACAAAAAAAAAAAAAGAAAATAAAAAATTGTTAATCAGTTTTAAAAATATATATATGTATGTATGTAAATATATAAAACAAGTTAATACGGTTGAATTTAAACGTTTTCACTTGATTTCCGAAAACTTTGCTAACTAAAAGCTAACTAAATTAATCTGCTTTCTTTCAATAAATTTTATATAGAATTATAAAATAAATATGAGTATTGAAAATTTTTAATAAAAGAGAGAAAAACTCCCTTCGAAACTGCTCCAAAAGTATTATACATACAATTTTCAAAATTAAATATTTTAAAATAACTTTTAATCGAATTGAAATGAAAATTATATGTAATAAATAAATTATGATTCATAATAATTGTATATTATTTTTTTAATTTATTAATTAAATTAAATCGATTTAAAATTAAAAAAAAAAATCAATATAAACCAAAAACGTTAGGTATTTTGTGGAAACTAGTAAAACAAATAACTATCACTATAATAAAAAAAATTATTACTGAAAAGGAAAACTATATTATTCATTTGTTTTTTGTTAATGATGTACCAAAATTTTTTCCATATAAAATTCCAATGCACAATGGCAATTATTTTTTAAAATTAGTTTTTTAATTACTACAATATGCCTGACAACAGTAACGATGATAGGTGAATAATAATGGCCCTATAAGACCATTATTATTCACTCATTTTAAAATTTAAATATTTTCTTGTTAAACTATATTATTATATATTTTAATTTCGTCTTTCGATATACTGACCGCTACCCATGCTTATCATAATATAAAAACTGAAAAATAATCAAAAAAAGAACATTGAATTTTTTTTTGAGATAACAAATTTCCGTTAAAAAAGTTTTAAAACTCTCAAGTATCTCATAAGTTTTTCAAAATTGAGTTGAAAACACTATAGCTTTAAACACTATAACTTCAGGTCTATTCTAAACATTTGAGTTTTCCTGAAAATAAGTTATTACTATTGTTAAAATTGCAAAAACAAATGTATATTTTAATAGGTAATATGTATTAAACCGGAGACAAAAAGTTATCTTAGTCCTAGTTATTTAACTTTTAGAAATTTTTGTCCCGGACCATTACAAAATTAGCACTTTCATATTTACATTCATAGTTTTAATTGAGTAAAGTAAAAAATCTCTTTTTAAATTAATAAATAAATTTATTTTCAAAATTAAAATACCAATCGATTTGTTTCTTTGATAACGAAGGTTTAAGATCTTTTAAGACAATATCAAAATCATTTTCACTTATAACATCTACATCATTATTATTTGTGAATGCATATAATGCAGCTTCATTACATAAGTTACACAAATCAGCGCCGGAAAAATATTCAGTTTTTTCAGCTAATTTTATTAAATTTATATTTCTTTCAAATGGCATTTTTTTCTCAAGCAATTTTAAAATCTCCAATCTAGATTCTGTATTTGGCGCTGGGACATGAATTAATTTATCAAAACGTCCCGGTCGAAGTAAAGCATCATCAATCATATCAGGTCTATTTGTAGCCCCAACTACTAATATATAATTTTCATTTTTATCTATTTTAATTCCCTCGTCAATTTTCAGTCCAATTCCATCCATCTCTTGTAGAAGTGTTGATAATATGCGCGTTTGCACATCACTTTTCGATGAAGAGGTACGTTTTCCAACTAATGTCTCTAAAAATTTCACCACCAAAAATATTAAATTACTATTGATATTAAATATTAAATGACTCTTGATCACCTAATTCATCGAAAAATATCAAGCATGGAGAATTTCTTCTAGCCGTATCAAATATCTTTGATATATATTTTTCTGCCTTTCCAACATAAGGCGAATAGACTTCAGCACCAGATATAGGTATAAATGTCATATTGGCTTCATTAGCTAAACATTTTGCAACAGTGGTTTTTGCACATCCTGGTGGACCATAAAGAAGAATTCCTGTAAAAAGAACAAAATAGATTAAAATAATTCATCAAAGCACAAAAACTAAAGTTGGACACCTTTTGACATTTTTAATCCAAATTTTTTAAAGATTTCTGGCTTTTTTAGAGGAGTCAGTATAGAAACTTTTAAAGAATTTTTTAAATCATTACCGCCACCAATATTTTCAAATGTTTCTTCGCATTTGTATATTTTTATATCAGTACTCTGTATTGATGCTGCAGTTGAAGTTCGTAAAACATTTTGAAATATAACACTAAGTTCTTGTTGATTGATTTTTGAAGTTTTCTTCATTAAAAAAATATTTTGACAAACTTTTTGTATTAGAAGATTTAAATCTGAACCAACGAAACCCGGTGTTTTTTCAACTACATTTAATATTAATTCTTCTGAAATTTCGCTTCGTAATGAGGTCGTTGATAAAATTTGTTTTAATATATCTTCTCGATCTTTGGCGGTAGGTATATGAATTTGAATTTCTTTTTCGAAGCGCTCTGGTCTTCTTAATTGCATATTTACTCTGTCAATTTGAGATGTTGTAGCGATCAACATAATATTTATTTGATTAACAAATAAATCGTCTAAAATAGAATATACTTGAGACGAAATTCTAACTATATTGTATGAATCAAGCTCAAAGACTGACGGACATAACAAATCAATATCCTCTATGAATATAACTGTCGGAGCTAAAATACATTTTTTGTTTTTTAAATTTTGTAACGTTTTTTAGTGCAAACAGATAAAAACTTACAACGTGTGGTAAAAGATTTTACAAAAATTTTAGCATTACTATAAATCTTTCTTAAAATTTCTTCAGTTTCTCCAGGATATTGGCGCATAATTTCTGAGGGTCGAATATTGAAAACATTACATTCATTTTCTAAGAACCAATTTTGGCACACCGAAGTTTTGCCGCATCCAGATGAACCAATTATTAAAGCGTTTAAAGAAGGCTTTCGTTTCCAATTAACTTTCTTTTGCATATTGAAACTATTCATAAGATTATTTAATTCAGCTGAAACGTAATCTAATCCTTTTAAAACCGATTTTTTTAATTTGAATTCATTGTAAAAAACATTTTTTACAATAATGTCAGTTTGCATATTGACTTGATAAGGTACATTTGATAAGGAAAATACCAAGATATTTTCGATTCCTAAAGACTTTAAAAACTCATCACCGTTAACAGTGCAATCTCCATACAAAGTAAATTTCTGGAGCCATACTTTTATAATATCTTTAAGATCATTCGCACTAAGAGAAATTTCGAAGAAATGTTTATTAATTTCAATTTCCACATTCAAGATTTTATGCTGCATAATTTCTTCCTTACATGCCACAATTTTTAATAGTTTTCCACCGGTTCTTTTACGAAATTTTGATCCAATTTGCACGGAGTCATCTAGGAAACAATGTTGAGCAGAAAAATTATTCTTAAGTGAAAATAAATAACAGAAAAATATTTCTCCTTTGTCAGTTTCACATTTTGCTAGAGTACCAACTTGTACATAACCATCAAAATATTCATTTGGTATTAAACATTTTTGAAAGCCATTTTCCCTAATATCTAAAATATCACATATATTTAGATTAATATTGTTAACAGCCATAATTTGAAATTTGTGTTTTATTGATGTTTTTCATTGAAAATACGTAAACGAAAAAAAAATAAACACTTTACTAATTTCACATATGTTTTGAACACTAACACAAGTCACTTACTAAATGTCATAATAAAATTTCTTAATTCCTATACAGTGTTCCCACTCAATAAAAACAAAATGTATCCAATTTCAAGAACAAAATGTATCCAAAATGTATCCAGCCTCCTAAAGTAGAATTATTATACTAAATCGCCTTATTTTATACCAATAAACTCTTAAATAATATTAATTTGCTTTATTCAACAATGTAAGTTTCGTTATTTATAGTAAATTCTTTTAGAAATCACACGCAATTTCTATTACATTTTAAAATTTAAGGTCAGAAAATATATGTTCTGTAGCTGTTGAACTATGCGGTAAAAACTATTCAGCACGAAAACGGGCAAATTTTATTTAGTCAGCAAATAACATTTTTTGGAAGATAATGCACTTAAAAGTTACAGCACTTTAAAAGTTTTCTAACATTTATTTAGTGTTCGAGAAAGAAATGTATCCATATTTCAGCAAAATTTTAAAATGTAGCCAATTTCGACATTTTAGCAGATTTGAGTATCTTTGTATCCAAGCTAAATTTTAAAGCAAAAATGTATCCAAATGGATACAATTGTATCCAAGTGGGAACGCTGTTCCTATAAATTTCCTACTAGAACCCAACAAACATTTGCACTACCATTCAGTTTTTTGTAGCAGTAAAATTGCTGCCTTGCAAAATTAAGTCCATTCTGGAAAAAATAAAAAAAAATCCTTAACAAGATAATAATTGGTAAATAACTCAGGAAATGACCATATGAACTGCACACCTACGCAAAGGCTTTTTTTTTCTATTGTCAAATTGATCTCTTTGTTGCCAATTCATATGTAAAGCTTGAACTTAAGATTTAAAAATATAAAATTCCGTTGGAAAATAATTTTGAAGTTTGGAAACCTAAAAATTAACAATAAAATTAAGTCTTTTTTTGGTTATTTATAGCAAAAAAACTTTATCTCCACATAAAATTACACATAATAAATTTTTTACGATAAATGTCCGACTACACATTTTCCGTACGTACGTGTACTACGCACTACATGACATCCATTGAAGTTGATTCTTAAATATTTTCCATTTTATATAACTTTTCATGTAGTAAACGTAACAGTTCATATAGTTTCTTACGATAATTATAAAATTTACATAGATAATCATTATGCTTTTACAACTTGCACGTCATTTCTTTTCAGAAACATTTTTTTATAATCCAAATCAATTACCAAAATAAAAAAAAATTCTTTCAAAAGAAATTTTATTAAAGATGGAAATTGACTATTAGGTAGTATTTGACAAACTAAATTTTGTAAAACAAAATGTTGTAATACTTAAATGTCAAATTTGACAATTAAATCTTATTTTATACGTTAGCCATTTTTTTTTTCATTAAATTCAATTGACATCAACTGTCAGTGTAAAATTTTTTGATTAGCATTGCACAAGTAAAAAAATAGTTATTTTCGATTTCAAGTGTTTGTAATTTTTCTAATTCCAATTATCAAAGCCAATTTCAACTTTTACATATAATTTCATTCTGTAAGTAAGATATTTTTAATAAATTTTTATATATCTTATGAAAAAAATAAAAAATCGGAAAAGTAATAAGAATTTTTGGCAGGTCAAAAATTAACTTTTCTAATTTAAGTTCTTGACAAAGAAAATGGCCACTAAGAAACTTTTTTTCTCTCCTTATATTAACTGTAAAAATAATCGCTTTTTAAGAAAAAAGATGAAACTTTTACTATTATAAATTTTAAATATTAATGAATTTCAAAAATTTTCTTAGTAATATTTCTCCAAAATTTTTATGTATCAAATATTTAGAAAAAAATATTTACTCGAAAAATATTTTGTATTTACAAAATTTTTAGTTGCAATCTTAGAAAAGAAAATAAGAATGACACATACATAGTTCCATACGTTTAATTGTATACATATATCCATACATAAGTACTATTGTATGTACCTAACGTCTCTTATATTTTTTTTATTTTTATTTTGTATTGATATTGACCATCGATTTTTCTCTAAAAATGAAAATGGGAAAATAGAAAGAAAAAAAAAAGAAAAATGAAAATTCCTTTCCCTGCATCAGATTTTTTTTTTTTGTATTTTTTGTTTTTAGTCCAACGCACACAAGATTTGCAAACGTCATAAAAATAGTCAGTCATTCGAGCAATCATTTTTCTATAAAAGATTAGGTAGGTACTAGAAATTGATTGATGGCTGAACTGAATTTTAATATAGAAGTATATATGTAGGTACTTATCTACTTACATACAAACATATTTACATAATTTGAATATTTTATTGAAATATCTGTTTTATTTTAAAAAATTTTAAATTTCTTTTTTTTTTTTTAAATAATTTTAATATTGAATGAAATTGTATTTATAAATTAAAATTGCGCAATTTACTCAATTAATTTTTGCTTGAATATCAAATATTGTCAAAGTCGAAGAAGTAAATAGATCTTGTTTTTATGAACTGAGATCTTTTGAGATCCAGACTACGGTATTAGATGTAAAAGTGTTGTACTACTCTGACCAATGGTGCAGTGGTTTATGGTATTGGTCTTTTATGGTTTATGGTAACCGAAGGGCCTCGGTCAGTACTATGAAATATACTACAATCTTACTGTACAATATTATAAAATAAGATATTATAAAAGTAATGCGCTATATATTTGTATTATCTGATAAGTGGCAGGCTCTAAAGCTTCCAATTGGACCAAGGAAGAAATTGTGTGATTTCTGAATAATTAGAATAAGAGTGTAAATATGTAAAAAGAGTGTTTAATGCAGTTATAAAACATATGTGAATGAAGTATACACATGTATGTAGTTGCAGCATTTAATTAGAAGTTTCAAGCATAACAAAAGTTATATAAGTACAAATACTTAAAAAATAATTATAGATGCATCCGTTTATATAAAGTACTCGTATTGTTGTCAATGTTAATTGTTAATAAAAAGTATTAGATTAAGTCGATTTACTTTTAGAAAAATAATTTTCAAAAAAAGTGAATACATACATGCCTGCTTAGATTTTTAAAAATTTCAATTTAATTTTTATGCAAAATTAAAAATAGGTAGGTACAGGTAAATAGATGTTTAAAACAAATATTTTTTTTTTTTGAAAAGAATAGGTATCGTTTAGGTACCTACTTATAGGTGCTGCTATGTTTTTAAATAAGTTTATTTTTTCTATTTTCCTATATTATTATGAAAATGCCTTCTGTTAGATAACACATGCGCAATCTTAATTCTCGCCACCTTTTTTTTTTATAATACGCAAAATGCGCAAGAGTTGCTAAATATTCGAAAAAGAAATAAAAATATTATTGTAGTAATAATTTAAAAACAAGTTGGAAACTTCAAAAGAGATTTAAAAGAAAAAATATTAGAAACGTTGAAAACAAAACTTGAAAAATTTATACAAAAAAAAAAAAAGAAACAAAAAATTTTGTATAAAAACCTGAGAGAAGTGGTGGTGTTTGTTTTGTTTTACTTTTTGTTATTGTTGTGTTATTTTTATGTTTATTTTTCATTTTTTCCGTTTTCAATATTGAAAAAAGAACATTGTGTCAGTCTTTTATGAGAGATTGTTGTGGTATAGAGCTTTGAATCTTTAATATTCGGTTTTCGTTTCGAATGAATCATTCAAGTTTTTATTCGCAATTTTTGAAATAAAAAAAAAAAAGATATCTATTACTGGTATCTAAGCTATTTTTTCTTATTAATCGGGTGGATCAAAGTGCACCAAAAAAATTTTTTTTTGTTTTGTAATAAAATTTTTCAAATAATTAAAAATTAAAATATTTGTATTGCAAAATTCTTGTTAATTTAAAAAAAAAAAGGATATAAAAAGTGATTTTGTGGTTATTTTAAAATTTGTATTACAGTTAAATACCTACATACATACATACATATAAGAATAAATAGGGTGTATCTATTTATCTATCTAATTTATAAAAAAGTGGTGAGATGAAAATTTTTGCCTAAGTCAATAAATTTTATTGTAAAAATTTAAATTTCATTTTTCTATATGAAAAAATCATTGAAAATAAAAAAGTGAAATAAAATACAAAAAGAAGAGAAAGGAAAGAAAAGGAAAGAAAAATTCTAGTGACGTAGGATATAGAATTAAAAAAATATGCATGTATTTTTGTCTCCTACACAATTTAAAAATTAAATTAAAATAAAACAAAAAATCAATAAAAAGGATATATGTACATATACATACACAAATACTAAAATTATTATTGTTGTCTGACAAAACAAAATTTATACATATAGAAGATTTTGTGACAATTTACATAGTCTCCAATTCGTTGTATCTTAATTTGGCATTAATAAGGTATGTTAACACAATATACATAATAATATACCTACATAATATTATAACAAATATAAAAGATTGTAAATTTGTAAGACTCTTTATTTTATAAATAACTTAAATTTCTTAATTATTGAAATTTCATATAGGATATAATACTTACCATTGCTATTTTAATTAATAATAATTTTTGCCAATTTCAAATTAGACGATATTTAATATATTAGGCCGAGTCCTAATATATCTACGTGTCCGAATAAATAACTTTTTGGATATTAGTGCATCTACCTACCACAAATTAAATATTATTGTTTCTTAATTGTAATATTAAATGGTAAATTAATTTTATTAATGGTACTCTTAATTATTCTACGTGCTGTGCTATTACCACCAGTAGAAGTTCATATCCTCCTCATAAATTCTTTAAAGGACTGTAACACTATGGTTTTTAATAATAAGAGTATGAAGTTTAGAGTGCAATATTTTATGTAGGGATTTGGATAAAAAATTGTTTGTATTTCTTTGCTAAATAAGTAGTAAACGAAAGTTATTGTATTAAAATGAGAATATTTTTCATAATTTAGAATTTTCAAATTTTTTTTTTATTGCTCTATTAGTAATAAGTAATAAGGATAAACACAAATATAACAACTTATACTATTATCTTATGTATAAAAATATATGTATAAGCATATTTGGGTTTTTTTAATGGTTATATTAAACTCAAAATTTTACTCACATACTACTCTCTTATTCATTGCCATAATTTTTTCATTGCTATTTGTGTTTTTGTCTATATTTGAACACAAATAAATAGACAAAATTAATAATACACAAATATAACAGTATATTCATATAGAAAGCGTATAAACAAGGGTATGTTTGCTCAATTAACGAGAGTTCATTAAACAAAAATGTTGTGGGTATTTTTTTTTTTAATTTATAAATAAATATTTAAAATAATAATTTTAAATGAAACAAAAAAAGGAGGATAATTTTTTTAATATTTATGAATTTTAATAAATAATTAGACTTTTTTTGAGTAATCTATGACGTAATTTATTTGCATTTTTTTTTTTTAATTAGCTCGTTGCTCTTCTCTTGATTTCTATAATTAGAAGAAAAAAATTGTAAAATAAGAAGAAGAATATTTTTATATTTAAAAGATGTCCTTTAAATAATGATGAATTCACAGATTTTAAATATTAAATATTAAAAGCATTCAAATACAATTTATTCTAAAAATATGATTTTGTTGATGCCTTTAGAAACATGTAATTATATAAGTTCCTGAATCCTTAATATCGTTTATGCCCAATCAGAAATAATTGTAATTCTGTTATGATAATACAAACATTTATATGGTACCTATGTAAAAATATTTTAGTTCAAAATAACTATTCATGTAAACAACCTATTTGTTCAAATATTCATGTATAAATATGCAATGCATAAGCATGTTATTAAGTTGCATTGGTAATTTTTTTTTTTTGTTTACAAGTATGATGTATACTTGTCCTAAATTTACCTACAAGTGAATACTTATGTATATTTTAAATGTTTTACATTAATGTCAGAAACTTTAATCTGTAACTTTATATTGAAAATAATTTTATAATATAAAATTTGTAAAACACATAAATTGTTTTGTATGCTCCTTAGCCTGAATATAGAAAACTTATTGAATTGTTAAGCGTCGTTAAATTAACGCATGCGTAAAATATTTTATAAATAAAAAAAAAAGGAATAAATACATGCCTATATGTGTATATAAATAAGAACTAATGTCAAACTCAAATTATAATCTATGTATATAAAGCAACGAAATTCAGAAAGTAAATAAAAATCAATTTCCAAATTTGTTTTAAAATCGCAACAGGATTTTAGATGTCCTCGTCATTAGTAAGACGTTTAGTCTTACAAGTACCTAATAGGTACTTGTAACATATAATAATTTTTTTTTTTTTAAATACTAACTTGAAAGTGTTCTAAAAATATTTTTACATAAAATTTCCAATATAAATATTACAAAAGTTAATTAACATCCTTTGTAAGAGTCTGTAAAATAAAAACAAAAATTGTTTTTTTTTTTTTGAAATACCAACAAAGGTCCCTGTTTTTTTAGTTTCTAATAAATGAGAACGGGAAATGTATACGTAGGTATTTCCTGTATTTTCATTCATTTAAATTTTGTTGTTCTTACTTTTTAGTTTGGTATAGGTTTGCCTGGCTACAGCAAATTATATTAATTATATGATAGCATATAGATTTGCTTACAATTCAGTTTTTTTTTTGTAAGACAATGGGCTGTTATATAAGTAAAATAAAATAATTTTTTTTAACATACAAGGAATTGATGGTTTTTCATTCTTATTTTTTGTTTTTTTTTTTTTTCTTTTAAATGTCTTTAATATGGTTTCCTTTCATTATGCCCCGAAATTTGATATCATGTTTTATTTTTATTTTTTTTCAGTTTACTATCTTCTTAGTTCTTTTTCCATCATTATCGTATATTTGTATTTTAGATAAGGTCTTACAAGTTTAGGTATATATTTTGTTTTTATTCAAATACAAATTTTAAGTACATACAAATATACAAGTTTTAAAACATTTATAATGGGTACTTGATAAATTATAGTTATTGTTTTTGTTATTAGTCATACTTAATGAATTTTACCACGTTATTTTATTTGAAACTTACATAATATGCGAAAATTTTTCTTATTTAAGAAAAATTTTGATGTCATTGACGTAATTTTGATATGAATTTTTGGCGTTAGCATGATATTAATAAATTTTTTATCTCAATTCACTAGTAAAGTTTAAGATAACCAGAGTTTAGTTAATACTAGTATTTTTTTCATTTTATATTCCGATAATTATATCTTTTTATTTTTTAGTTATGACCAGAAGAGATAATAAAAGCAAGAACTTAGATATGAACTCGATATACAAAGAGTTTTACAAAGAGAGTAATATTTTAATGTGATTGATGTTTCTAATAAAAAACAAGAATTAGAATCATCAATTTGATAATAAGGAATATGGCCATAAACAAATTTAAGGTTCTTTTTTCTTAAAATATTTGAATCTACTCACTTGCAATATGAATAAACCTATAATATGTAGTTTAAATTTGAATTAATAAGTAATTAAAGTAATAAGCAGAAATAAGCAGAAATAACTGTATTAATGCAAAGTATTTAAAATTTGCTTAGAATAACTTTTCACTGCCTAAAGGGTAATGACAGTGATCATTACCCAATTTCTAACAAAAAGATTATACTTAGTTTTACGTTATTATAATTTAATTTAAAAATAATTATTAAATATTTTTCGGAAAATCATATACCTAGTAAAAAAATGACTTAATCTCTAAAGCTTCTACATATTTATTTATTTTTGTTATTATGTTTAATATTATAATTTTATAATGGGTCCTTAAGAAAATCCTTAAAAATATTTTACCGTAATAGTATTATTTAATTAAGTGAAACAAAAATTTTTTTTTTATTTATTTATTTTACACTTATCATTATTTATAAAAGGCCCTATATTTATTTTTTTATATTGTTTAAGCTTATTAGCATGTATGTATGTATTTACAACATTTGCATATACATACATACATTAAGTAAACACTAAATAAGTATTTAGAATGAGTAATAACTATTTTTAAATAAATTGTTGACCATTATTTCTCGTTACCGTAAGTTTATTGTTATTTAGTTTTGTGTTTTTCTTTTTTCTTTAAAGTGGGAGTAAAAAATTATAGTGGGACGTTATAAAAGTAAATGATAATTTCTTTTTATTATCCATAAATACATACATATATGCGTTTTTGAGAATTTCTCGTTTTGATTTGGGAATTTACGATAGAGTTACGATATAGTTAGAATATTACAAATATAATAATTATGTATAACTAATAACTAACAATTTTGTAAAAGTGTTTTTTTCTTAATTGCGGTTGTATGTTCCATATTTACGCACATATATGACTTAACTGATCGGTTAAGAAGAAAAATTTTGAGTTTATGAAAATTGTGAACTACTCGTAGAATAATGAATTGTTTTATGTAAAGGCTTAAAAATTCTGAAATTTTAGTTTGAATCTAGTCGGGGTATAATAATTTATATACTTATTTCAAAAAACACTGCCTTTAAACCTAGAATTTTCAATGGGTTGGGATAAAAAAAAAAAAGTAATAATTTTCTCGAATAACCGTAAGATCCATCACATTATCAGAAAATTATCAACTACCCAAAAAAATACTAAACTTTGAATCTAATCAAGGTAAAACAAAAATTCAGACTGCTTGAAAACTTTGGTATTTTGGGTTCGAATCCAGTCGGAGTTATAATACATATATCAATTTATGAAATTGCCAAAGAGTTCCAAAGGTTAAAACCCTAAAAGCGTTTTTTTTTTGTTGGTTTTGTTCTTTCTATATTCTACAAGAATCAGACGTTTCTTTCAAAATTATCATGTAGTGTGCAAATGTACCTTAAAATATAATTATAACGGAAATATTTAACAATACATTGGCATTACAAATTAATAGATAATAAAAAAAGAAAAAAAAAAAGTCCAATATAATGAACTGTAAATATTTTTGTTTTCTGGGTTTTTTTTTTCCTTATTTTAATCTTTTATGGGTAAAAAACATTGGAAAGAATTTTTTGTTCTTTTATATTTAAAACAAATATATTGAAAAAATAATAAGAATGACATGGTAAAAATTGTTATTATTTTTAAGTATGTAAGTAAAATAAAATAATAATAGTCCATATATAGCTTTATAAATATGCATGGTACACATGAGGGTATACCTACTAAAAATTTAGAGCACCAGAAAAGTTTTCTAAGCATACTAAGTATAAAAGTTTATTTTTCTTATTTCTTTTAAAAGTACTTTATAGCGTATAGTTTAATGACATTTTTATTTGTTATTATATTTTGATATTATTTATTTTCTATGAGTTATTTAAAAAAAGTGTATGTACATACATACATATGA